GCTTTGGTTATATACTCTGGAGATCATTGTAAGTGGAGGCAGTTACTCTTCAGACACACACTGCATCCACAGACAGATACAGGGCTTCTGCACAAATAAATTTTTTTCCTGCTGACTTTCAAATGCTAATGTTTTTCAATCTATCTTAAACAGAAAATAAGAGGATCATGCAGTCAGCCTGCATTTTTTTTTTTTTTTTTTTTTTGTTTGTTTTTTTCCAGTTCTTTTTGCCTGTTGGATTTGAATATGTCAAGAGTAGAGGTTTTGGTCCTATTTTTCCTCCAGTTAATTGATTACCAATTAACTTGAGTTAACTGAATTCAGCACTAAGTGCTGGTCTAGACATGCCACAAATGTTTGTTCCAGGACATTCTGAAGAAAACCACAAGTATTTGAGTCCTGGAAGAAAAATCTGTGGAATATCCCGACTAGCATTTGCAATTGTGCTATTAGGTCAAGTTAGCATTGCAATTAATTATTGTGGGGTAAAGGGTACGAGAAATGTTAGCACTGAGATTACCTAATAAATTTGGTGTTCCAAATTGCCACTGCCAGAAAATTAATCCTCCCATGCCACTCAGAATTAGTCAGTAGATATGTGAGAATTCACTGCTCTCAAGGTACAAGGATATAATAACTACGTACATGGTTTGGATAAAATAAACCTAGCTACACAAATATTAGCAACTTTCTTGTTTGTAATTTCAACATGTTACTTAAAAGACTAACAATGTATTTACATTACATCGTTGCTTAGGTATGTTAATTAACTGAAACTTAACAGTCATAAACCACCAGGAATGTAATGAAGAAAACTAGTATTTGCTTTACTACCTTTTCCATACTTTAAAATATTGATGTAAGCTCAATTTTTACATTCTTCTGTTTTTCCCATTTTTTAAGCCCCCCTTCTTTTTCTTAAGTCTTTGTTCTTCATGTGCGGGAGCAGGCAGCTCTACATCTCAACCTTTTCCAATTAAAGTAATAATGAAAAACAACACAGCAGTATTTTCTTTGACTGACATCTTCCAGAAATATGTGTTGCAATCAAATGATAAGCCAATTCCCCTATGCCCCTATTCACAGCACATTTCTGTTCTGATCTGCAGCCTTGGATAACTTTGCTGCCAGCTAAGTGGGATACCTCACAGTATTTGCAGATTGCACCTAACTTTTTATCATCTGGCACTCAATAGGCAAAGCTCTCAGTTCAGTTCAGCACCAGTCCATGAAACACTATGCCTTTTGTTATGTGAGAAAGCAGTGGCAGATTTCTGGCATTGGGTAATTCAACAGACCTATAAATTATGGAGTCACATGAAGAACTGGCATTACGTGGCTATCTGGGGAAGGGACTTTTCAGAGTCCCCTTTAAGCACAGTGCATGGAGAACCACCGCAACAGCCACAGCTAAGAATTGCTATATCTCCCCTCTAGAACCCCTGCCTCATCTATAAGGTGGAAGCTAGCTGCACAAGCTTCATAATCAGAGCATGTGAAGCAACAAGTTTGGGAAGGGAGGCTGCTAGAGACCTCAATTCACATCCAAATTGATCTACAATAGACTAATTCAAACACTGAAAGCTCATCTACCAGCTTTCTTGTCTCTGTCTCACTCCTATGTGAATGAACAATCCCTGGACTCACAACCCCTCAAAACATGGGGTAACAACAAACAACAAGAACATGGTCAAAAGTAAGAGTGAGGTTACTTCACAGTGAAGAGCAAGCTGGGAGCTGAGACAGCCACAAAATGTCTCACCAGTAAAGCATAGCCCCACAGCAGGGTAGGAAGGAAGACAGAATAGACAGAGTTTACTAGCACCTCACTGAATACCAGAATGGGAAAATAACTCAGGGAAATCAAACAGGTAAAAGCAAGAGGCGTTACTAGGGAAAAATGTACCTGTGGCTTAGAAAATTAGAAAGAGTTCCTAGCCTGAACTTCAATATTGTCCTGGGGACACAGCCAGGGCTAGAGGCTCCCAGGTGAGCATGGTCAGGGCCATCAAGTTCTATCAGGGTTCTTGGGAACTTCAGTATGTATCCCTACCTTACAAAGCCATGTTGTTGAAGAATGGTTTGTTGTAAGATGGTTTGGATGAAGAACATGTGATATCTCCTGAAGTGCAAGGATAATTTTTGGCCTGTAGTTACACCAGCTGTTGAGGTAACAGAGTTTCTTGTGTGCTAATTTGGAGTAAAGAAAATGCTTCTCTTAGTGTAGTAGTTGCCTTTCTGCAAGATCATAGAATCATAGATTGGCTTGGGTTGGATGAAGATCAAGGTACTGGGATGGGGTATGTAAGCTGGGCTGATGTTAGAGAGAATCTAGGTGGTTGTTTCAGGAGGGAAGCTCAGAAAACTGGGTGATTTTACAGGGATTGTGGTGTTCAAGGCTATTGGTTGTTGGTTTGACTTTTTCAACAGTGGGAAAATGATCTTAATGAAAATAATCTACTTTGACAGATGGTTGAATAGTTCAGCAGTTTTTCTGTAAAGCCAAACCTATTCGCTTTTGGTGAAAACTGGTTAGGAGTATGTTGCTTACCTTTCAAAGATGTTTCTGATTTTATTTGACTGGGTTATGAGAATAGCATCCTGGAAAAGCTGGGCAAGCAAGCTATAGATGTGTGAAAGAGCTGAGTGGGTTCAGGGGCAGAAACAAGTTCTCTAAAGCTGAAGCTTGTGTTATCAGTATACAGATATTACTGCTGCAGGCAAAAGTGCCTTGGAGATGGGGGTGTCAAGTAACTCATCCATCTTGGAGAAAGCTAGTATGATTTTAGAGGTAACGTTCCAGAATTTCACTCACTTGTGTTTTTTTTCTGTTTTGAGAGCGATGTGGCAGAGATAGGTGGACTTATGCTTCAGGGAGATCCATAAGCTCCTTCCAAAATCCGGCTTTGACCTTGTCCCCTTCAGTCCTTCATGATGGGGCAGTTAATGTCTGTTAGGGTATCTGGAGTCCTAACAAGGTTTTGGGCTCCCTCTAAAGTAAAGTGATGTTTATGAAGGAAAGATAAAAGATGCTACTGATTTTTATTTATTTATTTATTTTTATTTTTTTCATTCTGGAAACTGACTGAAAATTACTATTTGAAAGTATTTTTCAGAGCTGTCACACTTAAATTATGTTTGTAACTTGGGGTATTCCTCTCTTCTTGATTTGTGAGTACTGGTCTAACTAATGCTCTCTTTGTGGTTCAAGTATATTTGGAGTTCTTTCCAACCTTAATGGTTCTATGATTCTTAAAAAAAACTAGAAGTGACATTTTCAAAAATGCTCTCACTTTCAAAAAAGAATAGATACGCTTGGCTGATAACATTTTTTAAAGCCTTAATTTTATTGTCTAATTTGCTGCTCTGTTCCTTGAACTTCACATGCAGGCTAAGGTTTGCAAAAGACAAGCATTTCATTTAAAATACAGAGTGATTCTTACACTGTCATGCAATTTATGGTGTACAGACCTTTTAGATAGCCTTTTCAATGTATCAGTGAAGTTGCAAAAACCTTCACATGCTTTCCCTTGAACATCTTTGCTGCTAAGTACTGATGGTAGCTGCTTTTCATTAAAGTGGAACTGTCAGAAGGCAAAAAGGATCTTTGTACCTCTGGGGATGTTATAATCTTCATTCACATGCAGTTTGTGAGTTTATCTGATCACTGTGCTTCTTGGAAGAGTTGCATCCACATAAATGCATTTACTGCTTGCGTGTTTGTGTTTGTTTGTTTGTTTGTTTTTTTCTTCAATGTGATTTCTTTAGCCTGTGCTATACTCTGGATAACAGGCTCACAGAATGCAAACTCTTACTCTTTTCTCTGGATCTTAGTTTCCTCAGATCTCACTCATTTCACATATGTGAGTCTCTAGCTTACCACTCTATGAGCCCACATAATTATGAATCAACTATATGAAAAATATGTAGAAAAAACACCAAAAGAACCAAAGCTATAAAAGATTCTATGATTCTATGAAACATCACCCTTTCAGGTCACGTTGTTTTTGATGAGCTTTTCATGCTTATTCACAACACTGCCTAGAGATTAGAAAAGAACAGGGTCTCATTAACGTCAGTTGTTTTCCACATATGTATGTATGCTGAAGTGATTGCAATGCTGAAAAATAGCAGAAGAGGAAACAAAATGGACTACAAAATATTTAGAAAGCAAGTACTCTTCGTGGAGCACGGAAAAGGAGCATGCAAAGAGAGAAGCTATAACGCCCTCTCTCTTCCATCTTAAGTAACTACTGTTATACTGTAATGTGATTTTCTGGCTGCATGCAAGTGCACGCAAGACATGGCAAGCCGCCTCCTTATTTAAACTACTGTTACATCTACTCTCCATGCAAATAGGTGGAGGTAATTATTGTTTGCTTTTTATTAGGATATTTCAATGAAGATCTAGGTTCTTAGAATTCAAAATCCAGGGAAACTAAAGTTTTTTTTAACCTTTCAAAACACATGTGGAACTCCACAGTTAATTAAAACTAATTAAATGTCTGGTGTAACAGCTTGTCATAAAACCATAATAAATTATTTTTATATAAGAATTATCATTTGCTATTGTAGGTTTTAATGATTTAAATAATTAATTGAGCTCCTGCTCTGGGAATGAAGGGGATCAGCTGAACGTTATCATGCTGAAGGACAATGATTTCTTTGCTGGGCCTACAGTGCCATCTACAGCACCAAGATTGCAGCTGAAAATAAAGTCTGAACTATGAAGTAACTATTTTTATTTATTTATTTATTTTTACTTTAAAGCCTTTAAAAATCAAGATGACTTTTATGTTCCTTTAAAATGTCACTAAGAAATGAATAAGTAATACGTTGTATGCCTGAACCTCTGATTGATCACCTGAGCAATGAGTCAGCCACGGGAGCACAGCTGAAGGCAATTCTCCTGTGCTGCCGGAAGGGGTGGAGCCTGGTTCCACCTCTCCTAGACCCATTTAAGAGCTGACTGCCAGGGGGAGAAGTTCTCTTTTGGAGATCTTTTCTTTCGAGTTTTGCAGCAAGCCCAGGATGCAGGTAAGCTTTCCATCTATTCTTTTTTTGTTGTTATAATCTGCTTTGCCTAACTCTCTTGTTTATTTCATGGTTATGACATCTTTATATTCATTGACTATACATATGTGTATTTGATAAAGCTGGTGTGTAATTTAATGAAATAACAGCTCGTGTTTTCTGAAGTTTTAGGTGGGTTATATATGGATGTATTTGTTATCATGGATGGCAAATATGTGTTGCTGCGTGTTTATATTTTGCTTCTAGATCTCCTTAAGACTTATAGACATTTCCACTTTATTAGTTAAAAAAGTTGATTTGCAAACATACCTTTATTATTGATCTCTGAAATAGATGAAGAATCCTACATTCCTATGTAGTTAGATGGGATCTAAAATTTTTCAGCAGATCCCATAATTGCTCTTCATATTTTCATGGACTTTGAATCTGGAGAAACTTCAGCCTATTACAAACAAAGACTAAAGCTCAATTTACAGTAGTTGCCTACTAATCTTAGAAATGTCTTAAAAGTATATTTTACACTTCAACAGAGTATTGCAGGCAGTTATTAAGATATGCAGATGTAAGTTGATCCTTCAGGAACTCAAAAGAACAAGAAGCTTGTAGTAGAAAGGACAAAGGCAGCTGGTGATAGTTTGGGCTTCTTTTTCAGGGTGCTGCCTTGTAGCCATCACATCTCTGGCTTGGGCTGCAAACCCAGGACGTACCTTAGAATAATGAGAGAGAGCATTAATTGGAGCACAAGTGCCCCTTGATCACTTGCCTGTTCATGATGATGAAAAATCCCCCAGTTTCAAGTTCACAAGAGATAAAAACTCTGATAAAAACTCACTTGTGCTTTCATTGAACAAAATTTGCTCTAGTCTGCTGTGTGGAGTCCTTCATCAGCAGGCCATGGTTTTAAACCCACTTAGACTGGCTGTTGCCTGTATAAAATGAATTTATTGGATTTCTGCTTTCCCTGGTAGGTAACCAGGAACATTGCTTCATTGCTGATTTTCCAATATTTGCCCTTTTTAACAGCAGGCTGAAGTGCTGATAGCCTTTGCTGTCCTTCTTGAAGGATTTATACAAGGTGATGCAAAGCCCTACAAATTTCCTGTCTCCCTGCTGCTGCCTCAGAGCTGTGCTCATAATGCCAGCTGAGGGAAGCTCCATGTTTTTAGCAAGGCTAGCAATGAGCATCAATAGTATTGAGCTCTCCAGACTCAGTTAGATGTTATTATGTCACCTTGGAAATTATTGTAAGCAAATTTGTTCTGTTTACTACCAACCTGAGTTGAAGATGATGATGATGTTTAAAGGCTTGGGGTATATTATCAAAATTGAAGGTGAAGAAAGATTGGCTTGTATTTTAAGACTTTTTTTTTTTTAAGCATAACTTCTCCTTTCCTGTACTCATAAGAAAAAAATAATAATCTGAGAACTGAGTATGACGCAGATGTTCTCAGAAGTGCTCCATTTTATTCTAAAATAGAGACAAATGACAGCTTCTGCATTCAAGGATGTCTGTTTATGATCCATGTAAAATATCTGTTGTAATCTACTAGCTTAAGTGACATTTTCTGGTTTACTCTTTGCAGGATTTTCAAAGGAAAGAGCACTTAGCAGCCAAAAAGCCTCTCAATCCCTATTGGCTTTTGCGCCAAAAGTCTGACTCAGGACTGTCACTGACATGTTAAAGCATCATCTCAAGAGCTGGGTGTTTTGAGTAAGTTGAGAGAATGCAGGGGCCATGGTATTCTTTCAGTTAGAAATTTACAATTTCAAATTGAGGGGAAAGTTTAAACTACAACAGAAAATGAAAACTGACATATAGCTGTGTTCTAACACATGGACTATTTCTAAAATGTCCTCTTTTTCTTTATTAGGCACAAGCAATTTATTAAAAAAAAAAAAAAGCCAGTCATGGTTATCAAGAACATACATCCATATTGTAAATTAGTCTATTGAAGAGCAGAATCAAGATTCTTAGATTCTGGAAGGATAAAGCCATCTTCCTCGATGAAAATAGTATCATTGGAAGAATTATCTGCTGCTGCTTCTGAAGAAAGCTTTGAAATCACAGGACTGGATTTTGAACTAATGCACAGTAGTGTAACAAATTAAATTTTCAATTCCTTGTTGATAGTTCTCAATCCTAAATATTACAAATTATACAGTAAAAGTGGATTTGCCGTAGGAGAGTGTAATATTTACTGTTTTCCCTTTCCTGCACTTCCAGTTTTACTGTTATGTATGTGTGAGTATACATAAGTACACATCTGCATTATATTTGGTAATATTTAAGGACCCTGAAGCTGAAGGCTGAAATTCAAATCTAAGTAGCTCACAGTGGTGCTGCAGCTGAGTGACAGTGCTGATGGAAAAGGGGGGGTGGCAGGTGGAAGGTGAGAACTGAGAAGGAGCTGGCAGTCTATTACTGAAAATAACAATAGGAAAGTATTTGCTGAGTGAACTGGGACTTTTGAAGGCTTTTGGAACATATGTCCAGAGGTTGAGCAGCCTGCCCTGAGTTTTGTCTGCAGGAGAAGCAGCTGTTGCTGGTAGTTCAGGTGGCTCCTGCCCAAACTGGGTCTGCTACAGTGTCCCAGTCTGAACTGGGCTTCATGAAAATCTTCCTTAAGATTTTTGAGGGATGTATTATGAAGGGCCTTACGTAACATAATGTGTCCTGAAGCACAAGAAATCCCTCTCAGTCTTATGGGACCATACTGATAACAGTCTAAACTCAAGAGGATTAAATTTAAGTCTTATCTGATTAGAGTTTGTTTTTTTTTTTGTGTGTGTGTGTGTGTGTGTGTCTACTTGAATTTAATTTTAGTTTATTCCACAGGAAAGCAGTGAATTTGAGGTGTGCTAGCAAAGCAGCAGACCCTTCTGTTTCTATTTTCAGAAGACACAATTTAAGGACTGACTATGTGGCCTTGGATAGTTTAAGCCACTTATTCCCAAGCTGTTGTGCATAAGACCTAAATAGCCTTTTTGCCGTGCGGCTTTCCCAAACAGCCTGCAGTGTCACAGTCTCTTCCCTATTGTATTACCAGAGGCACGGGATGCTCCCAAGTACAAGTGAGTCTGAGGCAGGCATTGGTGCTGCAGTAAAGAACATCAGGAGCATCTCTCTAGAACAGCTAATTTGGATCTAGGATCTCAGACACAAAAACTTCATATTAGAATTTCAACATGATGACACTTAAAATATTAAAATAGCATTACTTTCACAATATGTTTGTGGGAAGTGGTGCTGACAGTATGATTCATCAGATGTAATTTATTTTAGCCCAATTTTGCATAGGAGTACTTGACTTCTGAGATAAAATCAACAGTGGGCAGCAAATATCAGTTCTCTGAGTTGCTTGTTGCCCAGGATATGTGCATGTACTATCACTATCTCTCCTGTCAACCTGGTAGGATGGAAATAATATTATGAAATAAGGTCCTGGAGGTCAGTACTTCATAGAAACTAGTCCCTGCCTAGTAAATGATATGAGAATGTGCTTTATATTAATTACCTTTACTCAGATATCCTAAGTACATATACTTACACAGCTTTCTGGGCATCACACTAAACAGAATGAGAGAAGATAACAAATGCTGCAGCAGGGAATTTTAATCTTGTGTGCAGGAAGAGCTAGAAAAATAAATGAAAGAAGTCATTAAGAAAAGTAGATTGTGAGATGTGGGAGGTAGGATGCTGGAGGAGATTGTAACAAACCTTCAACAGCCAAGATTAAAAAAAAGGGAAGTTAAATCACTACAGAGAAGTTAAAAGAAAAATATAATGAAATAGGTCTCTTTGGTATTCTTAATGTTGCTAGCTATGAGAAAGTTATTACACTTGAAACTGTGGTTGTTCCAAAGGATGTTCAATCACTGGCAATAGCCCCAGTGCAGAGGATAAGATGGACTATGGTCCAGTCAGCTTTCTGACGTATTCACGACCCTGTACTCCTCTATCCCACAGGTTCATTTGCCAGGACTGTGCATTTGTTTTCTCTGTGATGTCGAAGAGCAAGAATTTGGGAACTGTCAGGAGAAGGAACAAACAGAAGTGTTTATAATAAGGAAACATAATAAGGAAAAATACTGTCCCCGAAGCAGTGATACAACTTTTGTGGCATGACTCAGGTTATCTTCAAAATTGTGATATATTTTGCCACTTACCAAATCATGCAGGGGCAACATAAACATGGGGCTGGAGGATTCTTCTTTCTCCTTTACTCCTGCCCCATGACCCCTGCTTATTTTAACTACATATACAGCACAGAGCTACTCTGTGTACATATCTGGTGGCTTCTGTATAATATAGCCAAAGCCACAAAAAGGGTTATAAAACCTGAAGAAATCATTTCCCAGCTCCTACATTGGTATGTCAATGTATCCAACTGTGCAGAAAACAACTTCCTGTTGTGTTTTTGCTACTGGGTTTTTGTCAAAATGCTTCCATTTTTATTGTCCCCCCCTTGTCTGCCTGATTTGTTTGCTCATTTTTTATTTTGTTAACTAGAAGGATTTAACAGCATTCAGTGAGTATATAGGACAGAGTTGAAGTAATTATGTTTTTCAAAGGGATTTTCATGCTTGAATGATCTCATCTTGCCAATAAGTTCCTTTGGCACTGAACTTTATTACTTAAAACACATTAGAAGAAGAGCTTGTACAATTCAATCACTCCCTTCAAAACTGTTACTACAATAACTGCTTCCAGCACGCACTCCATGGAGTGAAATTGTTAGTACACCTCTGAAAGAAATACAACATATCCGCCAAACCTGTTGTTCTTTCTAATGAGAAGGGGAAGACAATACTTAAGACTTTAAAAGGGGTCTTAAGCATGCTGTAACCATCTGAAGGATCAGGCACATGCATGTTCCTGGGCATACAGGGCCTGAGATACCTTCCCCACCTTCTAACGCAGAGATGGGGGGCAGGTCCAGCCAAAGACTAGTCTTCACTACTGGTAAACAACCAGGAATTGTTGTGGTTTTTTTTAAAGAATTTTTAAAATATTATTCTCCTATCTATTTCAGTTCTAGCACCTAGGTCATCCCCATCCAGATGCGTTTGGAGAGCTGAGCACAGCAATGTGTAGAAGGATTTCATGGACCCACAGGGTGATGCCAAGGAGGTAATTACGGCCTTGCTCATCACTATGCCTTCCCCCAGTGGTACTTGAAAGTTATGATGGAACTTAGAGCTCCTTAAAAAATAAATGTGCGCTGTCTTTGCACTCTTTACTTTCTATGAAATGTTTGTAATTAAAAAAAAAAAAATGAAATCAACAATCAAGATTTCTTCATTTATTTTAAAATGCATGTATTCTCAGTTTTTGCTTTTTTTGACTGTTCGTTTTTGTATTAGATATTTCTACACATAAAATGTTGCAGATTTAAAACGTGATTTTAAACAATTCAGCAGGGTTTCTAATGCCAAAGAAAGGATACTTTGCCTTTTGCAAAGAGGAATTCTAGCTTAGTTACAGGATATGCTACTTGGTGGCTCCAGCTGTGGCAGTAATGATTAAACTGACTTCTAATACGAAAATATTTACATTTTATCTAAACTTGTTTTAGTGGGTGATTCTGTGATTCTGTTTTATGTGTTTTTACTTTTGTAAGTAGTGTTCCTTCTATAATAACCAAGAAAACAATGGTAACTGAAGGAAGCCAGAAACAATTCCAGTTTAGCACCTGTTTTCCATATATTCAGTGCTTACACATCAATATTAATATATTCACTCTAAATTTATACGTGAGTGGTGCTGAATGAAAGTTAATGTGCAAATGTTTGCATAGCAGAAATATGCCTATAGCAACTGTGACTCATTTTCTTCTAGCCATATTAGTAGCCCTTAGTTATACATTCTTTTTTTCCCCAATTATCTCTTACAGTAGAATGTTCAGAGGTCGTGCTTTTGGTGTTTTCATCATAATAAAGGTATGTGAGTATATGTACCACTACTTGATTTCAATATCATAAGTAGTTTTCATCTGATTATTTTTTTTCCTGAAATGGAGAAAGACAAAGAGTACCAATTGCAAAGATGTTCATACCTTTAGAGCATGATCTGCTGTACTTGAAAGCACAGTGGTATGTGGTGCTGGCAGACTCCTGCAGCAGTTCAGCATTGCCAAATAGATATTTTGAAGATCATCAGACAACCTGAAGATTGTTCCTTCAGGTGAAAATATGAAATCTCATCACCAATCTGCTAGGTGTCTTTTAAAGTTTCTTTGTGTTCCTCCCTCTGAAGAAAAGTAATGGGGAGCTGGCTTCCTCAGACGTAGGAAAAGGCTGAGATGCTCAATGAGTGCTTTGCGTCAGTCTTCCCACATTTTCATGGTTTTTCCAGACCATGAGCCTCTAGATGAGGGTGTGGGAAGTATTTTCTGTCCCACTGTAATGGTGGAAAAAGACTGAATCCTCCCCATGCAATTGAATGTGTATAAGTCCACGGGGCCAGATTGTATCCATCCTAGCATTCTGAAAGAGATGGCTGATGTGGTTGTTGAGCTGCTTGCCATCATACTTGAAAAATCACGGCTGTCTGGTGAAGTTCCCGGTGACTGGAAAAAGGGGAACGGTACTCCTATTTTTAAGGAAGGGAGAAAGGAAGACTTGGGGAACTACAGGCAGGTGAACCTCATCTCTGTGCCTGGGAAGATCATGGAGCAGATCCTCCTAGAAGCTATGTTAAGGCATATACTGGATAAAGAGGTGATTTGAGACAGCCAGCAAGAGATAGCCTGACCAATCTGGTGGCCTTCTAAGATGGAGTGATGGCATTAGTGGATGGGGGAAGGGCTACAGATGTCATCTACCTGGACTTCTGCAAAGCCTTTGACATAGTCCCTTGCCATATTCTTCTTTCTAAATTGGAGAGGTGTGGATTTGAAGGATGGACTGTTCAGTGGATTAGTAATTTGCTGGCTGCTCGCAGCCAAAGGGTTGTGATCAATGGTTCTGTGTCAGGGTGGAGGCCCCCAGTATAAGAAAGACAGAGCTCTTGGAACAAGACCAGAGGAGGATCTCTAAGATGATTAGAGGGCTGGAGCACCTCTCCTCTAAGGAAAGCTTGAGGGAACTGGGCTTGTTTAGCTTGGAGAAGAGAAGGCTCCAGGGAGACCTCATTGTGGCCTTCCAGTACTTGAAGGAGGGGGGGAATGGCTGTTTACCAGAGGGTGGTGACACACTGGGACAGGTTGCCCAAGAATGTTCTGGATGCCCCATTCCTGGAGGCATTCAAGGTCAGGCTGGATGTGGCTCTGGGCAGCCTGGTCTGTTGGTTGGTGACCCTGCACATAGCAGGGGGGTTGAAACTAGATGATCATTGTGGTCCTTTTCAACCCAGGTCATTCTATGATTATTATTTTTCTTTTTTTTTTTTTCTTTTATTTTTTCTCTCAGAAGGCTCCATTAGAGGCACAGGTCTGGCTCAGGAGCTAAGTGTTGGCAATGCAGCATTTGTCTTCCCTAATTCAGTCAGTTTATGGAAGTAGAAATGATGCATTATTTTATTGAGGCTATATATGAATCTACAGTGCCATTGTGCATTTTCTAAAAACATTCTAGTTTTTATATCTAAGCATAAAATGTGCATGAATATATACAAGGAAATGAGTTGTAAAAGCAAGTTGTTTACTGTACAAACAGGGAATTGGGGTAAATAAAAAAAAAAAAAATTGCAAAACGTAGACTGGGAATGACCAGTAATAAAAATCTGAAGCTGGGGAATGTACCCTCAGCAGAATAGTAGAACTGGAGCTAATTCAAACAATTTAGGATTGAAGGTTTTGTTTCAGAAAACTCGAAGAGCTGTAAAATGAGGCTTCATAAAAAGGTGAACAAACCATGCAATGACAATAGATGGCAGTGTAACCTCAGAAAAATCTATTTCTTTTTTTCTTTTTTTTTTTTTTTTTTTTGCTTGTGTCTGGGATTTTCTTTCTTAAGGGGATGGAAGTTCGCTTCGTGGAGAGCATAAGGAGTCAGAAGTCAAGGCAATTACTAACTTTCATCCGAGGCTAATTTTCTTTCCAGCTCTTTCTTTTTACCATCATCTTGAGGATTTGTGTGAAAATTTCAAACTTGGAATTGACCTTGAATCGTACAGTTACAAATACAGACCAGAAAGTGTTGGTTTTGTTGTAATACATGGTCTATATCTTGGGATTTGAGAGCCTAACGGGCTCAATCAGCTTGAAAGTAATTCAATTAAGGAATGAGTTAAAATGATTTAGGGCGCTCTGCCTGCCTGTCAGATCTTCTGATGATTCCTTAAGGTTTTACATTTCCTTGGTTTTTTAACAGTGTTTTCTTCCCTGTTGCAGTGTGAGACTTTACAAACACCAGTAGGAAATTTGATGAGGAAGGTTAACAAAACTATTTATTAAGTTAATAAACTTGAAAAACAGCCTTACTTCCTGGCTCTCAGGGGTGAAGCTTTTCCTGAAGCAGGACAAGTTTTAAGGCTGACAGAAAACAATGTTCAATGGCTCTGGATAGGATTCAAAGCATCTTAGTTCCTTAAGCTATCACAGATATTTTCTAATGTGACCTTTGGCAGCTTGCCTAGCCTATTCCTCTGCTTCTGAAGTCTGTACAATGCAGATAGCAGTTTAATTTGACTGTCTTCAGGGTAAAACTTGTCTCTCACCCTGGTATTCCTTGCTGGAGGAGCTCTGGAATTGAATGGTGCTTTTTAATTGTGTAATAAAAATAAAATTAACAGTATTTGTTTACAAGTTTCAAGGTTTGAGCATAGCATCAGAAGCAAAGTAAAAGAACCACGTGGATTAACTCTCCTAATATGAAGTGCTTCGGTGGGCTGTGATCATAGTTGACCTGATCCTTAACTGGAAACTAGCAATCACATCACTGTTCTAGAGCAAGATATTTCTAGATTATTTTCTTCTCCTCTGTTAGAGAGCACTTGAAGCTTCCAGCTAACAGAAAAATGTGCTAATTACCAGGAAATGGGATATTTATGGAAAACAAGGCTTGGAAGCTGCTAATACTAATTTTGCACACAAAAGTGAAGATTGCATTCTTTTTTTCCATGTTGAGGGCGCTCATCTGAGTAATAAGAACTGCAGCACAAGTGTTCCCTGCTCACACTGATGTAAGAGGTTTTTAACATGGTTAAGGAGCAAATGTACCTAGATAGAGCTGAAAATCCCCTTCGATATTTCTTCTGAGGCAAATAAGTTGCCTTCCCATGCTAGTTCAAAATGCAATGCTATATTATTTAAACCTTCCTCCCCACACTCAAAGTATGCATGGTACTATTTCTTGGTGGTGGCTATATATGTATTTTTTCTCCATAACATCACTAGAAAAATGGCATTTTTTCAAGGTACATCCCGGATTGGGGTGAGGTTATGATTTCCAGCATTGCCTCTCAGGTACGTGAGAGTGTTTGCATTCAATATGTTGCATTCCTTTGTGAGTTCTCTGTGTCTGACCATCAGATGATATGAAAACCCCAATACTGAATACGTTATGGTGGCTGATGCTTGGCTGCTAGTAAACACCAAATGTTTTCACCCAGAATCCTCCAGTGAATTTGAGTGAAAGCACTCATGCTTCATTGACTGACTGGAAAGGTAAAATGCCACTGCTTTTCTGTTCTGAGGATCTGGTGCTCTGCATGACTAAAAATTGTACTATTCAGACGTTCTCCTTGCAGCACCCTGAAGCTCCTTAGCTCTCAGATTAAATCTCACTGTTAACATGATGGTTTTGGAACATTACCCTGTGGAAATTTACTGTACATCTAAAAGAATTTTGGGAAATAACTAAGCCTCTGTCTGCAAGTATGTGTGTATGCTACTTTCGTGCACGCAAGTGATCTTGGACGTGCTTGGGATGGGGAGTTGCCATAGCATGGTTGAGTAAGCTGACACTTCTATGTCCCATAGGTTCCATTGTCTGGATCCTGCATTGTCAGTTGTGCTCTGCTCTGTAGAGAAAAAAGAAATATATGAATGTAGATGGTTTTCATAATTGTCATGCAAATAGCTCATCTGTACATAAATGAGGCATGTAAATGAGAGAACTCCCATGTGCTAGGTCCCTGGTGGATAATCAAGGACAACAAATCCATAATATACATGGAGACTGGGGCTGTCTAGCAACTTTGTGCAGCAGAGAAATGTTGGGTGCTGTAAGAACAAGTTCTTA